AGTCAGTCCAAGAAGAGCAGGGCTCCCCCTGCTGCATGTGTCTGGCAACTTGGAAAAGGGAAACAGACCAGAAGCCTTGAATGTGACCCTTGCTGAGGCTGGCATCTTCAGGGTGGAGGGTGCATTAAAGCTGGCGTTAAACAGTGTTCTCGCGGAATCAGGTGTGCTAGGTGCTGCAAGCTGCCCAGCTTGCACAGGGCCCGGGCACTCGGTAGGGCCCAGCACTTGGGGTTTAAGTGCTCCGTACTCAGTATTATTTTTGAGTTTATGTTTTTAAAGTCAAGTCCAATGGGATAATAAAGCATGCCTTCAGGAGTGGGGGCTTGGAACCTTGGTTTACTTGCCGTCCCACCTTCCACTACATCCCCAGGACTCGTTCTTATAGACCACTTGTGCACCTCTGGGCTCCCTGGGCTTCCCCTTCCCCACCCTGCCTTGGCAAGGCCTTGGGCACAAACAAGGAGAGCCTTGGGATCTGGCACCATCCCAGAGTCTTGGGACAGAGATGGGAGTGGCCAACTGCCCCAGGCTGGTGGCACCATGGTGCATTTGCCTTTTGCCTGTCTCCATCTAGGCACCCAGAGTGTCCCAGCAAAGATGTTGCCATAGTCTTTTGTGGGGGGTCACCCCTCTGCTGTGGGTTGTGATGGCAAGCCAAGGGAAGGGGGTGATGCCTTGACTTCTGGAGCATCTGTCTGGGGCTGGTGGGAGGAGGAATTCAACAGCTGGCCACACACCAAATTAAGGGGGCAGAGGTACACACTATGGCAAATAAAATCCTCCGTGGCAGATGGAGAGAGAGAGACTTCAAAAGAATGAAAAACTTTGTTTTTCCTGTTTTGTTTTTGTTTTGTTTTTACCTAGGAGGGGCTCACATTTGCATTTTGCATTTGGCTTCACATATTATATAGCCAGCCATGACTGCAAGGGCAGATGCAGAAGCCAATCTACCCAGTTAAAAGGCGTTTTTAAAAACCCCTCCCACCATGCTTTCTGTTTGAAGAGCTATGTGAATAGGAGGAGGGGATCCACAGTGCTCTTGAACAAGAAGTTTCTTCCCCCTTCTCCACATTGCCTGAGACACACTGGAGACTTAGCTGCTTCTATGCATCTGAAATGGTGAAAAGTCAGGAAATAGCTGGAGCATCAAGGAATTGAGACACGAAATCCATACCACTGTCTGTGCACTCCCTGACGATATGATAGACTGGGACTCTCCAGGCCTTCTCTAAGTGACCAAAGGCCGTAATAAAAGGAAACAAGCCACACAGGTGCTTCTGAAATTCCCTGCCTGAGCCATTCAAGAAAAATGAGGCAGAATTGAACACACAGGATTGAGGGAGATGAGAACGCCTGCTAGGCAAGAGGTCTGGCCATAAAGATGACTTGTCAAGTCCTCAGAATGACTTGCATAGGAATTAGATCATTCTGCTGTGAAATTCTGAGAAATACATGTGGAAGCTGGTTCTTATTAGATGGAAAAGGAAGGAACTGAAACAAACCACAAGCTACCAAGGAGACAGATGGCCACTGAGGGTGAGATTGCAGGGCAGCCTCTTTGTATAAGCCCTTAGATCCGCTCAGAGACAATAAAAGACAGAAAGCCACCTGTTTATTGCTTCAGCCAGCCAGGGAAGAACTAGTGCCAGACTTCAAAGCAGTGACAAGCCAGAGCCAGAACAATTGAATTGTAAAAATGGACACAATGACCAATGCCATATGAATAATACATCTGTTGTTATTCTGCTTTCCAAAATGTGTTTTCTGGACACACAAAATGTATATTAAGGTAAAAAGAATTCTGGAAATAGAAGCAATCTTGTCTGTATTTTCTATTCCAAAGCATCCAGTCAACTAGGAAAAGAAGCATGGCTGACTTCTGATTATCTGTATAGATGGAGGGATCGGTGATCACAGAGAACTGAAATCTATACTTAGTCCCACCTACCCCATTTTATCTAGAATTTGCTACATCCCTCTTTTCACGAGCTTACTGGAGCTAGGCACGAGTTGCAAAATAAATTGACTATTTCAGTCTTATTTCTTTGGTAACTCCAACAATAGGTAATCAAGACAATCAGCTAAGAACTATCTGAATAATAAAGAGTAGGAGAATGAGAAACAAGGTCCTATACGATTCCAGAACTGGGTAATCAAGTGATTCTTATCAAATGCTATCACACACTCCACTGTATACCAGTGAAAAAATAGAAATTCAAATATATGGTTCAACCCTTTTGAGAATAAAAATATTTGGAAGGGAAAAAAGGCAGCAATGTCAAGCTATAGAAGCACTTACCAATTTAGCTATTTTTTCTTAAAGAGGGAGGATGATAACAAACATATCTTGTTGCCAGAAAAGAAAAAAAAAAAAAAGGATCTAATGGAGAAAGGGGTGTTGAGGAGGATAGGGAAGAGAACAGTACAGATAATATAAACTCTCAAGCTATGAAAACTGTGTGCTTCAGCCTCGAAAGAATGTCCTCTCCATGTAGTTACCTCTTTGGAGAATGAGTTCATAACATTCAGAATCTGAAAATTAATAAGAAAATAACAGTGTTGAGCAAAAAGAAAGCGTGAGGAAATTCATTTGTACTGAAATTTAGCCATGGCTGGTGTTCTTGGTGACTGGAAGTTTGCCTGTTAGCTTAGTGATCCCTGATAGCAGTGATGGAAGTCAACTGAGATGCACTTTGGGCTCTGAGTTGCAGAAGCCCAGACGTACAGTATAGAATGCATGAATGGCAGATTCTCTGTGTTGTTTTGATGTTTCCTTCACCTTAATTCTCTTTATAGATGAATGAAAAAGAGTGTGTGTGTATGGGGGCAGTGGATGCATGTATATGAGAGGGAAGTCAAATAAATTTTAGTTTTAGTTTAAATTCATTCTATGTCTTTGATTGTACTTATTTTCTAAACGTTGATGGTTTTGTAAGAGGTCAGATTTTCCAGCTGGAGAAAGCAGAAAGATGTTAAGAAGTGGATTGCAGTGAATATTGCACTGTTCTTCTGGTCTCAACATTTTGAGGTTTTCTTGAAGTCTCCCTTGACCATAATTCAGCTAATTGCTGCAGTTTATCAGTATTGATAAACCTCTCTGTCCTCATGCCAGCAGGCTCTCACACATTCATTCTACAAACAGTCATGAAGCGCCTGCTGTAGTGCCAGGTTCCTCATACCTTCTTATCTGTCCAAGGTGCCCAAGCCATCTGCCTTCCTGTGGATCTGCACCCATATCCAGGTGCCTCTGACAGCATGACATTTATTATCATTTCACTTTCTCATTCCAGATACCTTGATAGTTCTCCTAGTGTCCTGAATAAAAACCCAATCCCATGGAACACTGACTCTTAGAAAAGTTGGGTGATATTCCCAGCTCTGCCATTGACCTTCACCTCTATGCGCCTCAGTGTTCTCATATGTAACCAATACAGCACCATGGTAACTGTTGCTTTCAGCAACGGGGGTGATTTTTATCCTCATTTTACAACTGAAGAAACAAGGATCACTCTAGTTAAGTGATTTTCCCAGAGCTGCTCAACTAGTAAAAAAAGGGGCTGGAATAAGAATATCTTTGGACTCACAGCTCTTTCCGCCACATCCCTGTAAAAGGAGGCTGTCTGAAATGGCTCTCTTATTCGACTGACCAATAGAGTAGCCACTAGCTTTATGTGGTTATTCAAATTTAAATCAGTTACATTAAAAATTCAGTTCCTCAGTTACATTAACTACATCTCAAGTGCTCGATAGCCACATGTGGCTCGTGGCTGCCATACTGGCTGGTGCAGATTATAGGACATTTCCATCAGCACAGACTAGAATTTCTGGTTAGCGCTTGGCTTCTATGATTTCCTGATTTCTCAACATGGCATTCAAGACCTTTCAGCATCTGACTCCAGCTCTCCGTTACTGTCATTACTCACGACTCCCACTCCGGCTTGCTCCTTTTTTTTTTCTTTTGGAGACAGAGACTTGCTCTGTTGCCCGGGCTAGAGTGCCGTGGCGTCAGCCTAGCTCACAGCAACCTCAAAGTCCTGGACTCAAGCAATCCTTCTGCCTCAGCCTCCCGAGTAGCTGGGACTACAGGCATGTGCCACCATGCGTGGCTAATTTTTTTTTATATATATTTTTAGTTGTCTAGCTAATTTCTATTTAGTAGAGATGGGGTCTCGCTCTTGCTGTGAGGCTGGTCTCGAACTCTTGATCTCAAGCAATCCTCCCGCCTTGGCCTCCCGAAGTGCTAGGACTGCAGGCGTGAGTCACCACACCCAGCCCAGTCAGGCTCTTTCTGTGCCTGCCAGACTGTGCTCTATTTCTGTGTCGCCCACTGTACCTAACACAATGCCTTCCACAGAGCAGATAGTAAACATTTGGATGAATGCATAGATGGACAGCTGGAAGAAAGTGAGGAAGGGATGAAAGAGGGCAGTGTGGCATATACTTAAGCTTTCATTAGACAGATACTTACTGTCTGTGTGCTGAGCACTCTTCTAGGTTCCTGGGATTACTATGGTGAACAGACAAGGTCTCATGAACTGTCTGGGTGGAAGAGTGGAGAACAGATCTTAAAAAAGTTTAAAAGTTATATAAAAGTTCAGACAGTACTAAGTGTTATAAAGAAAATAAAAGCATGCTGTGCTGGGTGACTGGGAGAGAACTAGGATAACTATAGATATGGTTGTCTCTGACGAGGTGCCATTTGAACCCAAGTTAGAATAATCTGAAGAACCAACCATGTGAAAATCTGAGTGGAACACGTTCCTTGAAGAAGAAACTTTGCTACTGAAATTATACTTTTGCGTACTTTGTCGAGATGTCTTATTTGTCAGCTTCTGATATTTGGGCCAGTTTAAATGCCCAGTTTAAGAATCTTAACAAAATTACTTTGGAGGAAGGATACAACAAGGAAATAGGTGAAAACAATTAATTTAGAAAGATTAATATGGAGTCTATTAAAGTTAAAATGGCATTTATCTTCTATGATTTCTTTTGTTGTATAGCTTTGTTCCTGGATCACATAAAGCTGCCCTCAAAGAAGATGCATTACAGGAGGCAAAATTCTTTCAAGACAAAAAATATCTTTCAAGAGTAGCAAGAAGCGGCAGAGACGCTATTCAAAATTTTACCAGAAACACATCCCATACCTTTAAAAATGGAAAAAAGGTAATAAAAACTCCCAAACAACATGGTGAAGGAAGTGCTGGAACAATTTAGCCTTAGGAAGCATGGTACGACTCTGGACTTAACGAAATCCGCCCCCAGAACTCAAGCCACAGGTTGTAGCTTATCAGGTGACTTGATCCCCTGCACTCACTGATACTAAGATGTATCTTGCCCATTTATTTGACCATTCCTGGCAATTCCAGCATTCTGAGACTGATATGCCCAAGAACTGTTATCATTAGAAGATGGAAGAATGAAAGAAATGTTTTGAAAAGTCTAATGGAGATATAATTTGAAGGTAAATTTTATTTAGTATATGCATGTGTGTACATGGGCCAATGCTAATTCTTTTGATTGTTCAGTCCATTTTCTATAAACCAAGCCTTCTTTCTTAATTTAGAACTGTTTAATGATCATCCATTTAACCAAAGGTATTTTTAAGTGTTTGGGGCTACTCCAAAATTTACCCTAGAAATTGATGCTGTTTGTATGTCATATTTTTTAAAATTTGACGTTCCATGACTAGTCCACATAAACACATCACTGTTTCTGTGTGGACTGACTAGTCCTCAGATGGGCTTGTGCTAGAAGGTTTCCTCCACCTTCTGCAATTGTTTGCCAGGGCTTGTGAGAAGCAGAAAGTTATTTTCTCCAGCTCCAAATCCTCCGAGAAACTCATTAACTCCCCCAGATCATAAGTTATTGCTTTTGAGCCTGAAGTGCTCTTTTCATTATGAAGCTTCCTGGCTGGCCATTTTGATGGACTTCTAGTCTTTCTTTCCTGATGTGGTCATTTATTAATTTTCCCTAATCCATATATTCTTTAGAGAAGGAGAGTAAAGACACAACTTGTCATGGGTGAAGCTCTGAGTTACTTTTACCCATCAGGTAGCTATTTAGTCAATAGTGAACAGCACCACAACAGGATTGGTGGAGCTCTAAAAAGAGCCTTAAATACACACTGAGTTTGGAAACGGTAAGAAAATCCATGTGGGGTTGCAGAGGTACAAAAGAGATCAGAGTAAGTTAAAGCAGGAAAAGTTGTGGAAGTGCCTAGCTCTGGTAGCATTCTGTGATGGCTCTGTTTCCTCATCCCCATCCAGTTCTTACTTTTATGATGGGATTGGTATTTTCAACGACTAAACACCCAGAGCAGCGTTCTTTAATTTAAACACCATGTTCAGACCTTACCTCAGTCTAAGGCTGGCTCCAGAGTCGGTAGCAATGGCCCCACTACACATAATATCCTCCCTTCAGGAAGGGAAGAAGCCCTGCTTGGATGTGTGGGGCAGATGGTTACTGACACCAAAGTCAGTAGGGTATGTTCAGATTTTTTTCTATACCTCTTTTCATAAAACCTGGAAAGAAGAGCCATCCGCACTATTTTTTAAAACCACTTCTGCCATCCTTACTCAGGCAACTCCATAGAAATAGCTCCTAATGTCTTCAAAGCAGCAAGCAGTCCAATGAGTTAAATTTCATACTCATACTCAGGTAACAGAGAAGAAGAAAACGTATCAGGTTTCTTCATCTATCCTAAGTGGTGCTTTAGGGGTTCATGAAAAATATGTTTCAAATACAAGAAATTGATAAGCAATATGAATGGTATTTTAATAAAAGGGATTTTTCTAGTTAATTCTGGATTAAGCACAAACTCCTTTCTTCTGTTTATTGTTGGAAAAAGTTTTAAGATGCATTTGTTTTTTTTCTGTGTTAGTAAGTAAAGTATACTAAACAAATATTTCTTTAGTGATTGGATAATTTTAGTATTTTGGGTCATCTTTTTAATCATTAATAGGTGAGGGCTTTGAAACATGCTACAAATATAAGTTCCTTTTTAAAAATAAATCCCTAATATTAGCATTTTCCATGTTTTACCTCTTTCTCCTAGAAGTAGAAAGCAGTAAAAATTAAGTTGAATGTAAATTTAATAATGCCTGATTTAAACCAAGAATCACACAAATAGTGATGCTTCTTGGTTTAAAAATGTAAATTAACTGTAAATGACCGGCCTCCCATTATCTCTATACTAAGCCATGAGTTGGACTTGAGGGGGGACAAAAATGTAGAGGTCAAAATGAGATATAATTTAACATGGTACCAGACTGTAACACTCAGTAATAATTCAACCAAATAACATTTTTTAAAAGGCGGGGGTTTTGAGGGGAGGAAGGGAAGACAGGAATGGGAAGGACGATAAGGGGAGAAAAGGGTCATATTTCTGTCAGCCCACTCCATTTTTTCCTCATGAGTTTCCACATTTATCAGTCTTATGGCTTATCTAATGGCTCCAGGCCTGAAGCCCAATCTCAGCATAGCAGTTTGTTTCAAAAAAATTTCTCCAACCCCTGCAGACTGTAAATGTGACTGAGTAGCTACAAACCCTATAAATATGGTTTTAACGGACTTTAAGGGAAACAGAGGCAATATAACATGACAATGCCAAATTTACAAATTCTACTAATCCACGAAGCTATCAGGCCTAGAGTCTATCACTCCTAACTTTGACTTTTCTGAATGACTAGCATGTTCATTAATGACAGTTTTATTGTTTACCTTTCTAAAAACTATAGTCACCCTCCACATACGTGGGTTTCGTACCGTGAATTCAAATGATCCAAAGGTGGATCAGAAATATTCAGGGAAAAAAAAAGGATGGTTGCATCTGTACTAAACATGTACAGACTTTTTTTCTTGTCATTATTCCCCAAGCAATACTGTGTAACTATTTACATAGCATTTACATTGTGTTAAGTATTACACATGATCTCATGATGATTTAAAGTATGTGGGAGGAAGTGTACAGGTGTATAAGTTATATGCAACTATACCATTTTATATAAGGGATTCAAACATCCATGGATTGTGGTATCCTCGAGGAGTCCTGGAACCAGTCCCCCCAGAGATACCGAGCAATGACTGTTTGAATCATGAAGCTAGATGTATGCGTTGTAAACTGTTATATACTATAACTGAATTATATAATTAAATATAGAAAATTTACTTTTTAGAGTATTTCTAAACAAGTATTTTCCCTAGACTCAGATTACCTATTCACCTTTTTGGTTTTATAGACTCATGTAACTAATTTCCAACTATCCTGAACACCATAAACCCTTCTGCAAATGGATGAGAATTAAATGTAGAGAGAAAATTAGGTCTGTAGATAAATGGTAATCTATAACTTTGAAGAGTTTTATCTTAGTGGGAAAGGTCAATTCGGGCCTTTTAAAAATATAAATTTTTGGCATGTTTTTAACTTTTTTTTTCATGCATTTAATAAATACACTGGATGAAAGCAAACTGTTGGGCCAAGTGTCAGAATTTATGCTAGATTCTGTAATAAACAATGATGATGGCCAAGAAGACACACATTTCTCTAGAGCTGATACACAGGAAATCAATTCTATAGCATTAAGTAATGACTAAGGCAGACTATAAAACATACAGGAAGAAAGACGAGAACAGAGCAGAAAGAGCACAATACTTAGTGTCACAAGGAATCAGTGACATATTAGGCCTTAGGCCCAAATCTCTCTGTGTATTTTGTTTTGCCTCAGAACAAATGCTGCTGGAGAGTTGACTCCTCTGCTTAAGTTTACTGTTTAAAAACACCACCCCAAACAAAAAACAAATCTCTTAGGGTGCATGAATATTGTTTATTGGCAGGTTTGAATAGATTTTTTAATAGCAAAAGTGTGTTTACATTATAATAGCTTACAACCATCTTTTCAACCTCTTTTTCGATACAAAATAAACTGACATCATTATTAATCTTCGTATTTTACAGTCTCACCTCTATGACATATACAATAAAAAGTCCCCAATACTGCTGTCTGGCTGATTCTTGCAGAAAGATGCACAAGTAAACTAGCTAAGTACAACTTCCTTAACCCCCTTGGGTGTAGTTTGTTTAGTCATGAAACAGTAACATAGAGACCTGATTTTGAAAATTACACAAATGAATCTGTTCTTCTGTTCTCTAGAAATACCTTTTCTCTTGAGTTACAATATATTTATAACTTTATTACAATTTATACAAATCAGTAGGCTTTTATTTCCACACCTTCACAATCCCATCTCTAGAAGCAGTTACAATGAAGCCCTGCGTTGTCTGGAATGTGGCAATGTCCGTGATGATGTCATGATGTCCCACAGGCAGAGACTCTGGGCCCCTTCGAGGGGTGTCATCACTCGGCCCTACCTTCTGCTTATTCTGAATTTCCTGTTTGAGGGTTAGAAGTCAAGGAGATAAACCTAAGTTAAAAGTCCATGTCACATTCTACTTCTTGTCAGTATTCTTGTTTCTGGGATTTATTGTAAATATCTGTCAAGTGGTTGTGCTTTCAAAAATACAAGCAGCAAAAGAATTACAGGGTCCAAAATGACATTCTAGGCTTCCTCCTTGAATCCCATGAGCAGCCACTTACAAATATGGAAACTTATAATTAGGCTAGCATTCTGTGCATATTCTTTTGTCAATATCAAAAGAAAAAAGGAAAATATAATTGAAAGAGGTATAAATGACACATATCCGAGTTCTAGCACTTGTAAAGCTCATTAACATTTGTCATGAAGAAAGCACGCTTTCATTTATGAAGCACCTACTCTGGCCCAGGCATTTTCAGGATTATGATCTCATTTGAAATTTGTGCCTGAGTCAAGAACACAAGCTTTAGAGTCCCAGTTTCTGTTCACTAGCTGTGTGATCATGGACAAGTTACTTAACTTCACTGTGCCTTTTTCATTTGTAGTACTTCCTTAAAAATGACTTTAAAGACTGAGAAACATATGAAATGCCTACTGTTCGTTTGAACTATCACGTATGTGTACTTTATTATCTTAATAAAAGTTTAATTTTAAAAAATACAGAAAAACCAAGAATATGTATTTCTTAAATTCAAAGAAATATTGCCATTCTTGGCCAAAGCCACTGATTTTAATCAACTCTATGACTATGAAAGCCATTTTTGTGCTTATAAAATTTGAAAGAAACAAAAATAAAGACTAGTGTACCTGGACAACTTCGGTGCCTTCAATTATTTTCTTGT